GATGGCTTGTGTTTTTTAATCCAATCCGCCAATCTATGCCTCTTGAGTGGGGAATTCAAGCCATTGACATTTATTGAAATAATTGACAAGTGTGGTTGCATTCTATTCATCTTATTTTGTGAAAGTCCATTGCTTAGTTTTGTCATTTGCTTCATTGTGAAAACTAGGTTCTGTCCTTTAATTTATGGGTGATTACTTTCCTGAAGGTCCATTATGATGATCAGTGTGTAGGACAGGTTGAAATATTTCCTGTAAAGCTGGTCTTGTTGAGACAAATTTCCTCAGTGTTTGCATATCAACAAAAGTTTTAAATTCTCTTTCAATTTTGAAGCTTAACTTAGCGGGATATAGAATTCTGGGTTGCAAATTATTCTGTTTAAGTAGGTTAAAGATAGGTGACCATTGTCTTCTAGCTTGAAAAGTTTCATTAGAGAAGTCCATGGTCACCCTGATAGGTTTGCCCCTGTAGGTCAGTTGGCGCTTACTCCTGGCAGCCTGCAAAATCTTTTCTTTTGTCTTGACTTTAGATAAATTCATTACAATATGCCTTGGGGAAGGTCTATTTGAGTTAAGGTGACCAGGGGACCGATATCCCTCAAAAAGGGGTATGCCAGAATCTTAGGTAATATTAGGGAAGTTTTCATTTATAATAGTCTCTAGAATGGCTTCCATTCCTCTGGGGCATTCTTCTTCCCCTTCAGGGATACCTATAACTCGTATATTGGACCACTTCATAGTGTCCCACAATTCTATCAATGAGCGTTCTGCTTTTTCTCTCTTCTTTTCAGCCACTTTAACAATTTGGGTTATCTCGAGGGATTTATCTTCTAGCTCAGAGATTCTTTCTTTGGCGTGGTCTAATCTATTACTAATACTTTCTATTGCATCTTTGATATCTCTGATTGACTGCTTCAGTTCCTTCAATTCTGTTATGTCCTTTCTGTATTCTTCGTATCGTTGATCTCTTATTTGATTCTGTTTTTGAATTTCCTTCTGGTTATTATCTACTTTCTCAGCAATTTCTTTCATTGTTTTTTGATTGTTTTCCACTTTCTCAGAAATTTCCTTCATTATTTTCAACATATGTATTCTAAATTCCCCTTCTGTCATTTCTAACATTTTCTTATAGGAAGAATCCTCTGCTGTAGCTACCTTGCGATCCCTAGAAGGGGTTACTCTGGACTGGCATTTCATGTTGCCAGGATTTTTCTGCTGATTCTTCTTCATGAGTGCTTTCTTATATCTGTCTCCTTACCCTAATTTTCCTTTCACTTCTTCTTATTCTAAGTTACTATGTTACTGGCCTAAAATTTTAATGAGTCCTTTTGGTACAAGACCAGAAGGATGAGAAGATTGAGGAGCAAGAAGGGAAAAAAGATATTAAAAAAGAAAAAGAGAGAGAGAGAGAGAAATAAGAGGGGGGTGAGTAAAAAGAAATATTAAGAAAAAAAGAAAGACAGCAAAAGAAAAAGACAAGAATAGTATAGGTGTATAGTAGGGTATTATGACCCACTGTTAAGGACCCCCAATCTCTGGGGGTTCCAGGTTAGGTGATGACCTTAAGGTCAACAGCTCTGTGTCAGCTGGCTCAGACACAGTACCCCACCTCCACCAGGTAGAGAGGAGAGACCAAAATGCTATAAAGCAAACCATAACAAAAAAGCAAAAACCCCTAGTAGGATAAAGTTGACAAGTTAAAAAAAAAGTAGGGGCAGAAACACTGACAAAAATAAAATTCTAATTGTTAAAGAAGGCAAAAGCAGAAGGTTATATATAGACTAGAAAAAGTGTCAAAAAAAAAAAAAAAGAAGAAAAGTTGAAGTTCAAAAAAAACCCCAAAACCAAAAATAGAAACAAACAATATATATATCTTGGTAAATACTGTCCAGGCAATAGGTGATCTTCTAAGGAGTGAGAAGTTAATCTCAAAGTTGATACAGCTGTACAAGATGGAAACTAGAGGCCTTAACTGGTTTCACAGATCCCGCAGGCTTAGGAGCCCGAATGTCTCGTAGGCCCACTTAAAAGACCCTCCAAGCCGTGGGCCTAGGGCAAGCAGAAGCTTTCCAAGGAAAGCACGTATCCCTGGGATCTCTCCTGACATGGCCGCCTGCTTATCCAATGCGCCAAATCCAGTTTCCCTCAATGCCCATGAGGGCCGAGGGTGTTAATCTGCCAAACACCGGGATCTCCACACTCCTCCAGCGTCACAACCCCCGCCTTTGGGCAGCTCAGTCACTAGATTACCCGCCCAAGGACGCCCGTCCGATCCCCGGCCGATCCCGCACTGCACCATACAGGTGCAGCTCCCCCATAGAAACTGTGCAGGCAGCATACAGCGGAACGGCATTAGCTCCTTACTGGCTTAGTGGCTCAGTCCGGTGGTCTGAGACAGCGCCCAAAGTCATTCGCACACCGGCCCCAGGTCTCCCAAAGCAGTTCAATGGAGTGTCCAAGTCCAGACAAACCAAAACAGCCCCCAGGCAAGGCTCTTCCTGCTTGCAGTCTCGCTGTTGCTATAGGTACAGCTGCAGGCAGCCTCCGACTGAACAAATGGGTACCCACTACTTGCCGGTTTTCCACCGCTTCTGACCTCCTCGTGGGGTTCTAAAGTCTCTCACTGACTTCCTGCGTCACCAGAGGACAGCCTCTGGACAAAACCCACCAGCCAGAGATGCCTGAAATCTTCTCTCCCCCTTCTCATGTTCCCGGTTACACAGAAGCTGCTACTCGGCTGCCATCTTGTTGTCGGTTTTTCCACTTTTTTCATGAGTTGGGGTCTCATTTTCGCTCAGGCGAGTCTCTAACTACTGAGCTCAAGCAATTCTGCCTCCTCAGCCTTCCACAGTGCTGGGATTACAGGCATGAGCCACCGGGCCTGGCTTCTTTTTCTTTTTTGAGACAGAGTCTCACTATGTTGCCCTTGGGCTTAAGTGATTCTCTTACCTCAGCCTCCCAAGTTGCTGCAACTACAGGCACCTGCCACAGTGCCCAGCTATTTTTTGGTTGTAGTTGTCATTGTTGTTTGGCAGGCCTGGGCTGGATTTGAACCCACCAGCTCCAGTCTATGTGGCTGGCACCCTAGCTGCTGAGCTACAGGTGCTGAGCCCTAGCTCATTTTCAAGGTTTTGAGGAACCACCACTGTTTTCCATAGTGCAGAAATGATTTTTTAAAAACGAGATAGCGTCTCATTATCTTGCCTAGGTTGGACTTGACCTTCTGAACTCTTCAGCCCACTCTCTAGTTGAGACTACAGGTATGCATCACCACTTCTGGCCTTATGCAAAAACTATTTTTAAAAAATATTTTCAGCTGAGTGTGGTGGCTCCCACCTATAACCCAGAAACTCAGGAGGCTGAGGCAAGAGGGTTGCTTGAGGCCAGGAGTTTGACACTTCTCAGGCTGAGCAAGAGTGAGACCTTGTCTTTACAAAAAATAGAAAAATTAGCCAGGCATTGTGGCAGGCACCTGTAGTCCCAGCTACCTGGAAGGCTGAGGCAGGAAGATCTTTTGAGCCCAGGAGTTTGAGACTACAGCGAGGTGTAATGATGACACTGCGCTCCAGGCTGGGTGACAGAGTGAGAGTCTGTCTGAAAAATAAAAAACAAAACATGAAAAGGAAGGAAAGAAAGAAGAAGAAGGAAGGGAAGGGAAGGGAAAGGAAGAAAAGGGAAGGGAAGGGAAGGAAAGGAAGGAAGGGAGGAAGGGAGGAAGGAAGAGACTTATTAGTTATTCTAAGATGATAGGAAACCAATTAATTGTCTTGAAAATTGGGTAAATGCAAAAAAAAAAAAACTAAGTAAATGAAAGGAAAGACTTGAGCATTTATTCCACCTTTTCTTCAAACTACTAGTGGATCAGCAAATTGTCGGAAAAGAGAAGGTGTCTCCTTATGAAATAATTCTAGCAAGTATATGAAAACGAAAGGATAGAATATCGTCACTTAGCAACCCCAGTGAACAAATAGATGTTGGCTTTGAGCATCAACAGCTACTAATGTGAAAAAAGAGAGAATGTATTGTACACATGTGTCAAAATATCACATGCACCCCAGAAATATGTCCAATCATTACATATTATTGCAAAAAAATTAACAACAAAAACGAAAAACAGTCAGACAGTATGTGCCACCAATAAGATATCAGGAACATCACCCACTGAAGATTGCTGATACAGTCAAACCCAGGTCTAATGGAGCAAGTGTCTGGATTCGGCCAGAAATGTGGAGAACAGAGGAATGTGTTCAATAGCACCAGGGAAATCCACACATTGAGAAATTCTACAGGCCCAAGAGCCTGGGTTCTTCAAAGTTAAATAGAAAGGAAAAGAAAGGGATGTAGGGAAAATCTGTACACTGAAGGAGGCTTAAAAGACATAACAGGCTCAGTGCCTGTAGCTTAGCGGCTACGGTGCCAGCCATATACACTGGAGGTGGCAGGTTCAAACCCAACTTGGGCCTGCCAAACAATGACAACTACAACCAACAACAATAGCTGGGCGTTGTGGCAGGCACATGTGGTCCCATGTTCCCTACTTGGGAACTCAAGGCAAGATAATTGCTTAAACCCAAGGGTTTGAGGTTGCTGTGAGCTGTGATTCCATGGCACTCTACCAAGGGTGACATAGTAAGACTCTGTTTAAAAAAAAAAAAGATGTAACAGTGTTGGGAAATAGGCAAGACTAAGATATGTGGTCTAGGGGTGCATACTAAGGTGACTATACTCTAAAGAAACACAAGGAAATAATTACTGTAGAAGTCAGGGTGAGGTGATACTTTGGGAGAGAGGAGAGAGGCTGGGATTGGGCAGACCCTGAGGGTCTTCTGGGGGCTCACAGTCTACCAGGACAGTGATGCAAGTGAAAGTCTAGGCTCCTGCTTCAGAAAGACAGGAAGGACCTACCACTAGGAACCACTAAATGAACTCCCACCTACTTGTCCTTCCTTGGGGAACAGGAGCTTGGTTTTATTTATTTATTTATTTATTGCCTTCCTAAATAGATAGAATTTCTGGATGGAGAATTTGTAGGCAAAATGCATACCATCGATATGCACAGCAAGCTGGAACTGTCTGCTAATCTGATACCTCGGCCCGGCACATCCCTGATCCCACTGGTAAGTGTGTCTCCTGGTGGTTCTAACATCCAGACTCCCACTACATTTTCAACTCTGTAGAATTTGTCTCTTTGTGTCTTTCTCCACAATCATCTCCTGTGTTTCTGGGTTTGGTGGGACGATGGCTGTCTACCCACCTGTTTGCCTGTCTGTCCTCCTTTAGTGCAGACCCATAAATTCCTTTTGTTCTTTTTTTAAATATTTTTTATTTTTTTTTAAATGGTGAAAAACTTTATTCTTCATCAAGGTATTCCTTTTGTTCTTAACTCAGCCAAAGTCAGCTTTTGTTGCTTGCAACTGAGAACCTTGATACTCATACAGCCTTCCTCTATCCAGTGGTAGGAAGTTTCTGGGGCCAAGAATCCAAGAAGTGTCTAAGCCTACACTTTTGGTCATGAGCATAGATGGTCTCACATTTTTTTGACCTAACAACGGTGTGAAAGCTATACTTATTCAGTAGAGACACTGAATCCATCTGACAATTTTGTTTTTCACTTTCAGACAATTTTGTTTTTCAATCAATTGCATGAGGCCTTTAACACTTTGTTATAAAATAGGCTTTGGGGCCAGGTGCAGTGGCTTACACTTACAATCCTAGCACTTGGGGAGGCAGAGGCAGAGGCAGGAGGATCACTTGAGGCCAGGAAATTGAGACCAGCCTGAACAACATAGTGAGACCCCTTTTCTACAAAAACTAAGAAAAAACTAACAGGGCATGATGGCATACACCAAAGGCTGAGGCTGAAGGATTGCTTGAGCCCAAGATAGCAAGGATTCAGTGAGTTATGATGATGCCACTGCACTCTAGCACAAGTGACACAATGAGATTCTGTCTCAAAAAAAAAAAAAGAAAAGTAGTCTTTGAGTTAAACGATTTTGCTTAACTAGATAATGTAAGTGTTCTGAGTGCTTTAAGGTAAGCTTAGTGATCACATTGGTAGGTTAGGTATATTTTAAATTTTTTTTTATTTTTGGCTGGGCATGGTGACTCATACCTATTGTCCTAGCACTCTGGGAGGCTGAAGTGGGAGGATTTCTTAAACTCAGTGGGAGGTCTCTTGAGTTTGAGACCAGCCAGAGCCAGAGTGAGAACCCTATCTCTACTAAAAATTGAAAAATTAGCCCAGCGTTGTGGCAGGTGCCTGTAGTCTCAGATAACTTGAAAGGCTGAAGCAGCATGATTGCTTAAGCCTGGGACTTTGAGATTGCCCTGAGCTAGGCTGACACCATGGCACTCTAGCTCAGGCAACAGCGTGAGACTCTGTCTCAAAAAAATTTTTATTTTGAGTCTTGCTCTGTCACCCAGGCTGGAGTGCAGTGGTGTTATCATAGCTCAGTATAGCCTTAAACTCCTGAGCTCAAGAAATCTTCCCTCTTCAGCCTTCTGAGTGACTGGAATTACAGGTTTGCACCACCATGCTCAGCTATATTTTAATTTTTTTTTGTAGTAACAGGGTCTTGCTATGTTGCCCAGCCTAGTCTTGAACTCCTAGGCTAATGAAGACCTCTTGCTTCAGCCTCCCAAAATGCTGGAATTATAGGTGTGAGCCACGATGCCTGGCCTATTAGGTGTATTAGGTTAATTTTCTTTCTTTCTTTTTTTGAGACAGAGGCTCAAGATGTCGCCCTGGGTAGAATGTCATGGCGTCATAGCTCACAGCAACCTCCAACTCTGGGGCTCAAGTGATTCTCCTGCCTCCACCTCCCAAGTAGCTGGGACTACAGGCGCCCGCCACAACACCTGGCTATTTTTTGTTGCAGCCGTCATTGTTGTTTGGCGGCCTGGGCTGGATTCGAACCCGCCAGCTCTGGTGTATGTAGCTGGTGCCTTAGCTGCTTGAGCCACAGGCGCCAAGCCTCAGTTCATTTTCAATGTACATTTCAACTTAGCATGAGTTTATTGGGGGATGTCACCCAACTTCAGTCCAGGAGCATTTGTAGTTAAGCAGAAGATGGGGATGATTTGTGTGAGGAGATGAGAATAGTGTCACTAAATACAAGGGAGGCAGAGCCAGGCCCCAGGCTTGTAACAGGGGTTTTAGGAGGCCACACAGGGTTCTGACCCATGCCTCCCTCCTGTGTCCCTTCCTCACAGGTCCAGGCTGTCTGCAGAACGAGGGCTCAGAGGCCACAGTGAGGGTGCATGGGTAGATGAGGTGGGGCCATGGTGGGAACTGAACAGGCAGCTACATTTGCAGAGAGAGGTTTGGTTTCCATCTGAGGGTGTTTAGGGTCATCCACAGGTATTTGTCACCTGTTCATGCCTGCTGGCTCCACAGGGCAAGTGTTTCTCCTTCCCTTATCCCCAGGTGATGGTGAGCAACCCCCACTCTTTGGGACTGCAGGCCTACTACTATGAGAATGGCAACACCTTGGATGGGAACGTTCAGTACAAACTGGTGAGCCCCTGCCAAACCCCACCACCACGACATCAAGGGAGGCCACCTTGATGGCACTTTATGAGGGACCCTTGTGGGAACACTCCTTCTTCAATCTCTTTCTTGTATGTACTAGGGTAAGGTACAAGAGGAATTTGGTAAAGGGGACACAATCCCTGCCCCTCCTACTCAGGAGAGAGATGGGTGGGCAGCCATCACCTACACACATGAAATCATGAGGTGTCACACAGGGGGTGGGACAATGTGATGGGGAGAGATGAGCTAGCTGGGTAAACTGAAGTATTAGGATTTAGAGGCACTCAGGTCTTGGCCAAACGTGGATCTCAGGAATCTGTGGAGAAAAGCAGACCTGCCAGGCCTCAATTTGGCCTTGACCCCAAAGCCCAGGACAGCATTAGGTGTTGTTCATAGGATAGGGGTATGACCAGGAGGGAGCTGGTTATGACAAACCCTTTTGGTCAGCTGCCATCACGTCACACCTAGATACGAGGGAAAAATGATGTCACACCTCACGGTGGGTCCCTAAAGCAGATGCAGGGAAGGACGAGGAGCCCCGGCTTGGAGCTGTTGTTTCTATGAACTTCCCAAAGCCTTTCATAAGCAATGGAGTTAGAGCAAAGAGGGGCTGGGCTGCTTCTGGGTTCCTCCCACTGCTATCCCCCTCTGACACCCCATCTCTCTCATCATTCTGTTTTCGGGGGTGCCCCAGGGGATACCACTGCAGTTGGGGTTTCTTCTCTTGGTCCCACAGGACATTTACCTAAAGCAGCAGCAGCACTGGGGCAGGACAGACCCCGACTTCACATCCAGGTATGTCATCTCTGGAATAGAGGCAGGGGCCCTGGGCTGCCTATGGGGGCTCCTTTAGAAGGAGCAGGGAGAAGCAGGCAAGATCTAACCTCTAGCCTCAGGACAGCACTAGAAACCCTTTACACATGGCAGTCCCTCAAAATAACTAAACATAGAATTACCATTGGATCCCACAACCCCACTGTCGGCTCTTTCCAAAAAGAACTGAAAGCAAAGACTCAAGTAGATATTTGCAACCCATGTTCACAGAAGCATAATTCACAACAGCTAAAAGGCAGAAGCAACCAAAATGTCCATCAATGATAAATGGATAAACCCAATGTGGTCCAAACATAAAGTGGAATATTACTCAGCCACAAAAGGAAGGAAATTCTGACACAGGGTTTAATGTGAGTGAACCTCATTGTGCTCAGTGAGAGAAGCAGACACAGATCCCACTGTGTGATCCCACTAATAGGAGGTCCCTAGAATCACAGAGACAGAATGTAGAATGGTAGGTGCCAGGGGGAAGGGGGTGGGGAGTTAGTATTTCATGGGGACCGAGTTTCAGTTTGGGAGGATGAGAAAGTTCTGGAGATGGAGGGTGGTGAAGGCTGCACAGCCATGTGAGTGTGCTTGATGGGTAAGATGGTAAATTTTATGCTATGTGTATTTTCCCACAATTAAAGATACAGAGCTGGGCATAGTGGTTCACATTTGTAATCCTAGCACTCTGGGAGACAAAGGAGGATCACTTGAGGCCAGGAGTCAGAGACCAGCCTGGGCAGCATAGCAAAACTCCATCTCTAAAAAAATTTAAAAATTAGCTCGGCATAGTGTTGTGAGCTGTAGTCCCAATTACTCAGGAGACTAAGGTGGGAGGACCACTTGAGCTCAGGAGTATGAGCCTGCAGTGAGCTATAATTTGCACCACTGCAATCCATCCTGGGTCACAGAACACAACTGTGCCTCTAAAAAATAATAAAAATAATTGTTTTTAAAAAGAGAGAGAGTATCCCAGTACAAAATTTGAGAATGGGCCACCTGGGAAGTACAGATTCCAAAGAATGGAAGTCAATGTTCCAAAGTATAGACATTAGGGATCACTGGTATAGGCAAAGCTTAGGGAAGTTTAACAGAATTTTAACATCTTCTTATGTAAAGCTTAATGAATACAATTACAATGATCTCATTAGTCAGGGTGGCCTTTTTATTTCGGGAGAAGTATATTCATCATCCCACACTGAAGATGTAGCTGCCATGGGACTTGGACATCATCTGATTGAGTTAGGCACAGGACGACGACGGAGGCAGTTAATCTATAAGAAAGATCAGTGGTTATCAGGCAAGAGGTCTGGTCCCTGGTGTCCCCTAGTCATTTCAAGGGTCCTGAAATTTTATTCTCTTTTACAGAGGGGAAAGGACCCACTCATGGGGGTAGGCAAAATGATGAAGGCTTGGGTAGGCAGGAGGCCTGGGTTAGGTGCTGTGGGTAATTTAAAGTGCCCTCTGGATCATTCAAAAAGAGCTACTGGGACTGGGCACAGTGCTTCACACCTATAATCCTAGTATTTTGGGAGGCCTAGGTGGGAGGATCACTTGAGGCCAAGAGTTCAAGACCAGCTGCTGGCAAAAGTAAGACCATCTCTATAAAAAATAGAAAAATTAGCTGGACATGGTGACGCCTTTAGTCCCAGCTACTTGGGAGGTTGAGGCAGGAGGACAGTTTGAGACCAGGAATTTGAGGCTGCAGTGAGCTGTGATGATGCCACTCCATTCTAGCCTGGGCAACAGAGTGAGACTCTGCCTGGAAAGAAAAGAAAATAGAGGGAAGGTAAAAGGGAAGGGAAAGGAAAAGGGAACTACTGAAAGGGAAGAAAAAATAATTTTCCCTCTGCCCTTTCATTTCCTAGTTGGTACAGACCCTGGTAACAAAAGATAGGTTAGCAAGGGTGGTGCCTGTGGCTCAGTGAATAGGGCGCTGGCCCCATATACCGAGTGTGGTGGGTTTGAACTCGGCCCCGACCAAACTGCAACAAAAAATAGCCGGGCATTCTGGTGGGCACCTGTAGTCCCAGCTACTCAGGAGGCTGAGGCAAGAGAATCTCTTAAACCCAGGAGTTGGAGGTTGCTGTGAGCTGTGACACCACAGCACTCTACCAAGGG